TTTTGTTTATTGTTATAATTGTTATTGTTTGAACCTTCTTGTTCCTTACACATATGTACTATCGCACGCAAAAGTATTGTCGGTACCCAGCAGCGAGGGGTATTAAGCTACTCCACCTTCTCTGGGCGGGTTGCCATGATTCCCTAAACACTCAAAGTTTCCTTGCTTGATTACAGAAATTGATTACACAGTAAATTCTCAGGTAGAAATTATGTTGTAGTATCACACAATAAAACATATTCAACTCGGAAAGTACTTTTCTTAAGAAAAAAGTGAATTAATGGATTTTAAAGAAGCTTTTCAATTTTTGATTCTTCGATTCGTTGATGTTTTGATTTTTCGATTTTGTAAATTTTCAATTTTTTCGAATTCTTAAATTTTAGATTTTTAATTTTTTTGTTGTTTCGATTTCTCAATCTTTAGATTTTTTGCCTTCTCATTTTTCGATATTTCGATTTTACAATTTTTCGATTTATCGAGTTCTTTAAGTTTAAATTTTTTAATTTTGAATTTTCAAAATTGTCGATCTTTAGCTATTTCGATATCTAAATTTTTCGATTTTTCTGCTTCTCGACTTAGCGATCTTTTGATGTTTCTATTTCGCGTTTTTTCAATTTTTCAATTTCGATTGCTCGATTTCTCAGTTTTTCGATTATTCGTCTTTTCGATTAATCGAATTTCCAATTTTCCCACGTATCAGTTTTGGGATTTATGAACATATTTAAATTTTTCAATTTTACAATTTTTGGCGTTTCTTAATTTTGGATTTTTCGGTTTCTCAATTTCTCGATTTATTGATTTTTTAATTTCCCGATTTTTCGATATTCCAATTTTTCGATTTATCTGTTTAAGTTTTGGGATTTTTCAAGATTTCCATTTTTAAATTTTTAGATTTTGCGATTTTCGTTTTTTTGATTTTTTACTTACTCGATTTTTCAAAATTTTACGAGTTGTTACAATTTCAACATTTTCATCTATTCGATATTTTAATTTTTGGATTTTTGGATTTTTTTAATTTTTTAATTTTTTTTTTTCAAATTTTTCAGTTTTGATCATATTTTGATTTCTTCTTCAAAAACGAAACATCAAATATTAAAAAAAAGACGGTATGAGCACCTAAGATTCTATAAAATTCTTTCCAAATAAAGAACTCTACAGATCCTAGAGATTTTTTAAAAGTACTTTAAAAACAAAACACGAGAGGCCTCGAAGATTTTCTATATTGAAAAAAAAACACCAGGCGCCTGCAAGACTTTCTCTTTTAAACGCAAAAAATTGGTCTAAAGTTATTTAAACAGATCTTCCCTATATTAAACATAGGCGGGTGCAACATTATTGTATTCTAAAATTTTGGAGCCCCGGCCTCTTCCACAAACCAGTCCTACATTGGTATAAAATGTGATCATCTAAAAACGAGATGGTTAAAAAAAAGAGATGGTGAAAAATGAAAACTTTTTCTAAGTTGAACATATTTTATTGTGTGATACTACAACGCAGTTTCTACCTTAACAAGGTACTGTGTAATCAATTTCTGTAATCAAGCAAGGAAACTTTAGTCCTTGTCCATTTTATTCTACCTGAGTGTTTAAGGAATTATGGCAGCCCGCAGAGACAGCGGAGGAACTTAATACCCCTAGCTATTAGATATCGACAATACTTTTGCTCCATTTTAGAACAAGTAATTAATTACTATCCTCCTCTGTTTTAAGGAGAAAATCAAATTTCAATCATGCGGCCGCTGATGCTTGGTATCTGAATGCGCTAATCGTTCGACTTCTTTAAAAATGTAAACATAAACACTCGAAGTTAAGCATGTTGTTATTACTGAGAGGACATTTTTCCCCGTTGTTTATCTGTTTTTATTATATGTTATGTTGTCCGAACTTGTGACGGGCCAGAGAAGTTCTGTCGAAATAAACTAGGAACATTTTTTCGTTATTAATATGTCCGAAATGGTGCTACACATCATCCGAGTAGAGAGAGCTTAAACTACCAAAGCTAGATATTTAAAGGTGTCAGATTCAAGCAGGAGGAATAAACGCAAACTTAGCCGCTCAACAAAACAAAATAAATTTTAATTTATATGACTGAACAATAGCATATTTTTTATAATGAAACTAACAAGAACTAATCAGAAATGGATATGGTGTATGAATCCGCCTTGATTTTTGACTCCAGATATTCACATTTTTGAGAAAGAAATCTAATTTACCATGTAACTTTGAAACAAGAACATTAACTGCTGTGAAATTTTGCAGATGTTTTAAAATATGATAAACATGGTAAATCGCTAATAAATTTTTTGTTTATTCTCTTCAAAAATTTGATGATGTGTCAAAATTTTGCATAGTAAACTTTAATTACAATTTATAAAATACTTATACGTATAACTGTGGTTTATGAATCAGTCTTGATTTTTTATCTTAAACGTCTAGATTTTTGGAAAAAGAAATCAAAATGACAAATAACATTTTACAATTTTACTTCGAAACTTTGAAACGAACTGAAAATGTTTTAAGGTTATTCTAAACATGGTAAATCGCGAATCAAATTTCTGGTTACTTCCTCCAAAAATTTAATGACGTATGCTAGATAACGTTAACTAAAACGTGCAAAGTATTATGCGTTTATCAGAAAACCCATACTTTTTGGAATTTCTTGTATACGGGTGAGTCAAAAAAATGAATAACTGAAGGAATTTATTTTATTGACCCAGTTTTCCCGAAAATTTGGGAACACAGCATTGTTATCAATGCCAAGTACAAAATCAGCGAATCTGAGTAGAGCTACCCCCAAACCAATCTCGGGGGGTAGGTTTCCATAAATCCTAATTTACTTAGGTGATAATGTGAACTTTGTTTCCCTTCCCGTTGTCTTAAAAACAAAAGATATTTATTTCAATATTTCAATCCAGCACACTTTGAATAATGAAACTAAATGGAGTCAGGTTTAAAGAACAGCAGCTGGATCTATTTTTAAAACAGAATAAACGAAAAAACACTAGAAGACAAAATAGTGTCTTACAAATTCAGCAACCTCTCTGTAACCATAGTCGTAAACACAACGTCTACAATATTTAACGATAACTCCACACTAAATTTTCTAACACTTGTATTTTGCAAATCAATAGAAGCCATTTTCTGAGTCACTAAAATATTTTCATTTTCTGGAATTCGCAAAAAATAAGTACTATAATTCGGCTGATTTTTTCAAACTCTTCTAAGAAGCTTAAAATCGCTGCTGGTACAATGAGGCTCTTTATCTTATGATTAAAGGGGAATTTCACTAATTAAATTGTACGCGTTGTTTGGCAAGAAATGTAAACACACTCATCTGTTAAATTAATGCCCACTGTCGACTAAAAAGCAAAGGTGTAGCAACGATATTCCAAAAACGGTCTTGAGCTGGACGGATTCTAGAGACAGGTAAAGCTCTGCTGAAACGGTTCGGCACAAAACCGCCACTAAACTGCTCAAATCTCTGCGTTTTTTCACGTAATAAATACTCTAGCTTGGGGAAGGTCTTTTGTTTGGGTGTTTAAGTGAAATTAAACTTATTTTGGTTATTGCGTAATTTCAGAATTCATGAACTACTTTATTATCCGGAGGGTTTTTGTCATTCAAAAATTAACTGCTAATTGTAAATTTTAGACAATCATTTGTGAAATTTTTTCAGTGAAACAGAAAGCTTGCTACAAAAATAAAATAAAAAACACAATATACACAAAAATAAATTCCTATCGATTCAAAATGACATTCGACCTAAATATTTAATATAAAGAATTTACAGATTTATGTTTGGCTTCTTTGTTAATTAACAAGTCAAAAACACGAAAAAAAAATCGCAAAAAGTGATTTTTTTACTGTAGGTATATTTAATGCTAAAAGAGGATCAACAGTCTTAATATATTATTAATGTCCTGGGCGTCAAAATTTATTATTAAAATCATCCTTCGCGACAAACGTTTCAAAGGGATTTTTATTTAAAGCAATTTGTGTAAGTGCTTTTACAAAACACATTGCGACGTAATTTTGAAAGTTGCACAAGCTAGTTAATGTAAAATTCATATGTTTATAATTACCGTTAACATACATCGACGTGCGAATTTCTTACACCTCGCAAAGTCTCGAAGAAATTCAGCTTTTCCGAAGCATTTCTTTCCTAGATCCTTCGTGTTGGTTAGCGCATTTCCACACGTTATGTTAATCTTCTTTAATGCCACATAAAATTTTCAACCACCACCACATGCACGACACCGCACAATAAATATTACCATTAGGTGAAACTATAGCGTCTACACTAAAATAAGTGACAACTTTAACACAAACATCACATGCGTGTAATTTTATTGTTCTAAGGTAAATAAATAACGATAATCGCTTGCGTGATGTTCTTAGAATTAGTCGCCAACAGCAGGATTATTGGCGTGAATAAAACGATATTGAACTTGTAATTAGGGTTCCGGTTGGAACCACTTCCTTCGACCGTGAATTGAATTGGATTTTAATTTTTAATTGATTGCGTCGACTAGCTAAAAATAAATCGAATTAACTTATCACTTTAGACGAAAAACAAGATCGGAAGTTTGTAATTGGGTTTGTCTGTTTGGGTTTTGGCACTGAAACAGATTGGCGAACAATGTGCAGAGTTATAGTGCTTTTCCAATTGCTAAAATAACAAAACCACCAAGCGCAATGAAAATTTTAAGCCAATAAAATATGTATCTAAAGAGTACGAGTGCCCTCTTTAAAACGAACATCTTTCGTTTGGTGCCAAAATAAGTTCATTGTGTTAAAATCGCCATAGTTTTGTTGTTAAGAGAGTCGGTTTCCTGTCCTTCTGAAAACCCCTCATCAACTGTGTCGGGCCTATTTTAAAAGTTGTTTGACAGGTAAATACGTAATAAAACACAAAATCAAGCTTAGAGGAATCCTACATAAGCTTCGGCAAGTCTAAAAGCTCTACAAAATCGATACAAAACAGTGTAGTAGCTTACTCACCATGTCCCCGTTCATGCGCTACAAAAGAAAATAAAATCTGTACTTAAAACCCCCAAAAAAACAAAATAAAAATATAGAACGAGATATTTTTCACATGTTTGCTTCTGTTAGACAACAATAACAGTTAGAGCTTTGTATACAGGACAGTTTGAATAAAACCACCCTGTATATGTTCACACAGTTAACTTTTATCAAATCCAGTCAGCTTACCTCCGAAAACGTGCTTAGCGAAATCCTCAGAGCTCGCCTGGTGTCCATTTGTTACGGCAGTTGACATATCCGGAGATATTTTCACTTCCGTTGCCGCCACCTGTGGACGAAAAATTCATTTTAATCCTCCTCTGCACGATGTTTGCAACTTAATTACAAGAGTCTGGTTTGCTAAACTTGTTAGGGAGAATGGCTAGCATATAACGGCTCTTAGAATAATATTTATGCGGCCAAAGGGTTAATTAATTTTTTGAGTGTACCCTCGGCATAGCGATCCAGGGGAACCACAAACACTCTAGGAATAAATAATTAATTTGAATGAAAACGAGATTAAAGAAATAACTGGCCCGAAATGTTGGTAACTCGGCAACCAACATTACGCCATTACGTCACAGACAGGGCAATGGGAATTGCTGGTCAGCAAATTACAAGAAATGAGTAACACACTTTTGTACTCCCGCTAATAGACGATTTTAAAAGCAGGTCTTTCGTAATTTACGATAGGTAGCGCTAGCAACGTAAACCCGGTGATCCATAAATCACCATTACATTCGTAAGTAATGAATTAGCGAATGATGAACAGCGCAATAATGCTTGGAACCTACGTCTGTCTGTTTACAAGCTTTCAATTAAACACACATTTCTCCAAACACTCAACCTCATATTTCAGTTCGATCTTGGTCTATTTCCGTTGGAATCTATAAAAAAGAACAATTATGACGCAAAAATATGTTACGAATTATTTATTTTGTCGAGAAGTTCAAACTTGGTAACAACGCTATGTACAGGGACAACGAGGCTTTCGCGTGACAATAAATGGTACAATTATAGGAAAGACAAGTCTGAGCACAAACTAGTAATGATCGTGACATTAGAAGGATTGAAAGTTATTGAAGTTTTTCGTTAATAAATTAAACTCAAATGAATTAGTGCGCAGCTACTTGAGTGTGTTAAGATCTTAGACAGTCTTTTTAGATAGTAATCGCACCGAGATTCTCAATGCAAATTCTAATAGTTTTCAAATTAAGATCAACGTCAAACATTAATGAGGTAAATTAAACTGTTTGTGTTTAATTAATTAATGTTCCGACTTAAATAACCGTCCAACTCCAATTACCAATTACATTTTTATATGTGTAATCAAATAAAGTTTTGTTATTTCCGAGCTGCATCACGAAAATTAAAATTAAACCACTCACGCTACCAACGCTCATTTGTGCTTTAACAGTTCTTTGTTGCTTTCCAATCAACAAACAGAAAATTTTCTGCTCTTGACTTTAACTATACTTGATTCCTACTTAAATTTTTATGTTCCAATTAAAGTTCGTTCATGTGCATTTAAGACACAACAGGCAATTAACAACGGAATATTTGTTCATTTTTGTGAGTGCGAAAAGACAAAATGTACCATCGGAAATTAAACTGTTATTTTAGACAATAAATTAATGCAAATTTTTCATCAAGTATTTTATTTATTGTATTTGGTGATAGAGGTCTGTACCGCATATTTCCATTTGTTAAATAGATATCTCCTATCTTACCAAAAAATAACTGTGTCTATAAGAACTTATTTATTTAAACATTTCAGTAGATATAGGTATATGTTTAACCGTCATCACTAAGAAATAAAAAATAGAAATGACTAAAATTTAAAGATTACTATTTAGTACATTATCAGCTAAGCAATGCATAAAATATTTATTTTAGTACTAAATAAAAAATAATAATAATAAAATCATATACTTAATAAATATTTAACAATTTAAGAAAAAGTGAAGCCGTTAGTAAAAATATGTTTTGTCTGTAAATATATTACCATAATATCTAGTCTTTATTCGAAGCATTCAATGAACCTGTTAATATTAGCTATAAAAGGAGTTCATCAAGAAAATTAGAAATAGACGTCCGACAATAAAAATGTCTAATAAGAAATTGTTTCCGTTGTTCATTAGATTTTTTCCAACTCAGTAATTACGTAAAATACTTTAACAGCGTTTCATGTTTCGTAAAATTTAAAAAATCAACTTCCTGTTTCTATTTTTGTGTTTCATAGATATCAGTTTTTAAGGGCATGAATCAGTTGCACGCTGCTGAAAAAAATTGTTATTGTTATTATCTATGACTTCTATGGCAATTAGGCCAGCCACAGGGGGCAAATTGACCGCTGCGCACAAGTGACCTACACCCGTTTTTAAATGTATAATTTTCAAAAATATTACTCCCTCCGTTCCAAAATAAGTGTCCGATTTAGGATTTTTTATTTGTTCCAAAATAAGTGTCCACTTTTAAAAAATAATTACAAAGGGATATTTAACGTGTATTTTTGCAAATAAAAAATATCGTAACATGAAAAATCATTAGAAAATTAATACTTATGAGACTTATGACTAAAATTTAGCAGATTTGTAACTTCTTATACACGATTAATAGTTTTTGTGGAAACGTGAAATTTAGTACTGGCACGCTTAATGGCACCATGCTGCAGTTTACGGTTGTGGTGCAGTTTGAGCAAAGATTGCAGAACACCTCGTCGCTGGTTGTTATTCAAGTTAGGTTTTTTGAACTGTTTTTGCCATTATGACACAAAAGAAAGTAACAATTGATTCGAAACAACTTCTTAGCGGGTAAAAAACACAGCAAGAATTTTTACTGAATTTTATAAACGTAATTGAAAAACTACTTTGACAGATGTCAAATTTTCAGCGGCTCCTAGATATTCTTCTTCCATGCCTAATTTCAAATAAAATACTTCTGATACAATTAATTTAACTATTTCAATAATTCGTCAAAAAAACTCAAATCGGACACTTATTTTGGAACAGAGGAATTATGTAAATTATTCTTACATTTTAAATATGTACATATTCATTCAGCAAAAAAAGCGATAACGTCGTCTTAAAATACACATTGTGGCGTGTTCTTCCACCTCGCAATTTAATTTTAACTTTAACTTTTAAACGAGTGGCTACTTTTATGCTTTCTCGAAGTTTCGTTATCCCTAAACTATGACATAAACTAGATCTCCCGTTTCCGTCTGTCTGTCTGTCTGTCTGTCTGTCTGTGTCTAACGGCTAGCCAAAATTTATCTGATCAATCGACAATTTGATGACGTGACCTCAAAATTTTGCATTGTAAAGGCTATTTAAATTTTATAAAATAACGCACTCGTGTTTGATATACAAAAATCAAGTTGTCGCCACAGGGTTGATTTTTTATTATAACAAGCGGGGTAACATGTTTCGGTATCCACTGGTACCATCATCACAGCTAAACATATGGGAGGTAATTAGTTTAGAAAAACATTATTACTACGACGTTGGGGCTTGCTATTAGTAGCAGTTCTCAAATCAAAATTTCTAATAATAAATACAATGTAACTTCTAATTAACTGTCAATTGTTTGTCTGTAATGATGATACCAGTGAATACTGAAACATCTTAAAAATAAATCAACTTCATTGCGTCGACTCGATTTGTCTACCAGTTTTATATTTTATAATATTAAACATGGTCACCTCGAAAAAAAGATGGGAACTTCTTTGACACATATTTCTGTACTTGTGGTCTTTCAATCCAACTTGATGTTTACCGTAGCCACCCAAATTTTCTAAAAAAAAAATCCAACTTGTGTAATAACTTTTTGTAAGAATCAGAGAAAGCGTAATTGGAAATAAAATAAGAAATTTATGAGATGCTACAAAGAAAATTGTAGTAAGCATGAGGTAACAAATAAAAATGAATATATATTTTGGAAAAGAGGAAATAATTAAAGGGAACTGGAAAAGTCCACAGTGTGGACTTAAATACAACCAGAAACTGAAGCTAGTGTAGTTTTCAGAGGCAAAGAACAAATAGTGCAATGGTTTAATGAGGAGTCCAAAAAAGAGCTCGAAAAAAAGAGAAAACTAGATACGAAAATCTTAAATAATAACCCGGAAGAAAATAGGAATAATATAACAAAACAAAAAATGTATGAAAATATAGGGAAGGAAAAAAACAATGATTGTGATGAAGAAATTGGAAAAATTGAAAAAAGAGTACAGAAACTTAAGGAATTTATACCGGGAAGTAAAATTAGAGAGAAGAGATTCTAAGAGAAAGCAGTCACGGTTAGCTTGAAATACTTTTAACTGAAAAGTGCACTTCTAATCTTTTTGCGTAGCATAGTTTCTTTAAGTTTTGTGAACCTTTTAAACAAAAAATGAAAAAAATCGCTAGAGCCGTTTTTTGAAAAAACATGTTTTAGTGAATTCCATAGAGTCAGATCTGTTTAGTTGAGTTGACTGGGCTTTGAATCGTTTTGTTATGTCAAAAATATGTCAAACGTTGTTACAGTTTAGTGTCATTGGTCCACACACAAAAATGTTTCAAACAAACCATAAAAAACAAAAAAAAAATAAATTCAATAAAAGAAGATTCAGAAAACGAGTGCAACGAGCACATTTAGGTGTTAATCAAAATTATATAAGTCCGGAAAACCCAGCAACCTGAACGTGCGCGCTGCGTTCGCATTCTAAAGGTTTTTTTTTTTAATAATAAGTCTCTAGATTTATTATTTCAAGTACACCTAACCAATTTCGACCAGATTCTTTCTTAATAAGTTCTATGATACTAAAATGCAAAAAAGGAACGCCTAGAACGCGAGCGTAGGGAGCACGTTCAGGACAGGTGTAATTTAAAAAAATATTTATTGCTGTGTCCGAGAAGCTAAATTATTAAGAACAATTTTGTTGTTTAAAGATTGTTTTGATCTGTGGGACTGAAACATTCTGAAAGTGGTCGGTACGCTCGCCTTTTAGAAGTTGATTTGTTTTAGAATAATTTATCTCCATAGAGAAATCTCGAGAATGATCATAATTACAACACAAGTAGATTTAATGACCGATTAAATTTTATGATTAAAATACAAAATATATTAAATTTTGGTTAGGGATTTCATACAAAAAATAATATTTTGGAAATATTTCAAAAACGAATGTTTTTGTACAACTTAACGAGACTATACTACGCAAAAAAATCAGAGGTGCAAGCACTTTTGAGTTAAAAATATTTCAAGCTAGCTGTGAAGTATTTTGAATTTTCATCTTTTTAATTAAACCCC